TATACACCCAAATACATATATATATATATATATATATATATATATATTTTGTGTGATTAAGACTTTCTTATAGTTGAGAGGGTCCGAATACTTTTATAAGTTAACTCTAGTATTTTATAATTACATCTTGGAGAATGTTTTTTTTTTTTTTAAATTATTAAAGTACATACCAAACTTTGTTGTGTTTCAATATTAGAGGAGGATGAGTCATTTTCTTTTAATCATGACAATTGTCGACATTGAGATTTGAATAATAAATCATGTATATATTACTTTAATTTCTAATTATTAAGTCGATCTTAACTTTCAGTTGTAAAAACTTGTTCTTGTAGAAAAACAAGTTCTTAAGAATTTTAAAAAATGATTGTCCAAACTAGTTGTAAAATGTGTCTATGATTTAATTTGATTCATTTTTTTTTTCTAAAGATAAACTAGCATGATTCTCGTTTACGGATTACTCTCATTTTTATGCATAAACATACTTATTTGATCAAATTATTTTTTCACATCAAGACTATAATATTATTTAAGTTATTAAAAAAGAGTGAGAAAATTCAAATAGAAAAATTCTATCAAATTCAAACTTATCATCTTATTTAAATAGTTGTTTGCTATAAGATTTAAAAAAATAAATGAGAATATTGATTTGAATAAATGGAGATAAATTATATCCTTGCCTACTTGCATTACACGAGTATTAACTAATTCTAATATATAAAATTTCAATGTGTTTAAAATTTAAATAATGCTTATTATATTAAATATAAAATCATTTAAAAGTAATAGGTGAAAATAGTTGTATATCTTTTGAAAGAATTATTTGTATTGGATATATTTTTTCATTATATATATAATTTCATAACCAATTTAATTAAGAAATGGTCAGTATCCCTTCATCCTATTATAAGTTTCGCATTAAAAAAAAGTGTCATATTAATTTTTGAGCATAATATTAATTGCCTTTTTTATTTATATTCCTATAATAAGACTAATAGAGATATGTAAGACAATAACCCGAAGAGAGTAATAGAGATATGTAAGACAATAACCCGAATAAACATGTAAATGTTAAGCATGTAAAATTTCGGTGTTGGACATGTAAATTTAGCTTTCTCAAGTCTTGTGAAGTCCCTACACTATTGGGTTAAACAATAAAATCAAATATTAATAGTTACTCTCTGTGTATACAAATAATACCCTTAGAAAATGTATATCAACAGGGTAGCTGGAGTAGGATTTAGGAATAAATATGGTTTCATAGCAAATCATAACTCAACTTTTATTTTACTCTATGCATATTTATTTTTTAAGTGGTGCTTCAAGTTAAGGGTATTTCTACAAAATGATTGAATGTTAGAAAATGTAAATTTTTTTATTGTAGTTGGTTGTTAGGTTCAAGGACCACATCACCACCATCACTGCTACCACCACCTTTGCCATGATGGCGGAAGTGGCAAGGCCAAAAGAAGTGGCTGTCTACACACTTCAGCAGCAGAGCCTCCAAAAAAACTAGTGTTGTTGCTGCATAAATGCATATAACAGTGGCCTTTTGCTGTTGCACAAATTCATAAGTAAAGCCACCCAAAAAAAATAATCGGAGTAGTTCATGCTTAAACTCAGCTATCAGTGGCTGCTGCTGCCACACTATTTCAGTAGTACAGAAATCGTGAACCATAACAAAAATTTGTATCGAATCGCAAGATTCAGAGACAGAAAAATTACTTCATATAAATGATATATAATGCTCAATGTAAAAAAATTGTACTAGAAATAGATAAAGTAACTTAAGCAGAAGTCTTTGTGAAACACTTATTTTAGAAGAATGAAAATAAGCAAGTAAATAGCTAAATAGAGTTTATACATTGAATGAGCGAGTGACAAATTGAGTCAAGAAATGTTCTTTCAATTACTTTTCATTTAATAATTTAAGCTTATATGAATTTTCAATTTTTTATGAGAATTGGTGAAAGGTAAAAAAAAGAAAAAAAATGAATTGTTGAATCGTATAATATAATATGTATCAAGGATACGAAATTGTATAGATACATTCATGGATCGTAGGATACAAAGTCATTTTAGATTCATCATAAGATACTTATTAGGTTGTCAAATTGTATCAAATCGTTAGATTGGAATTATGAATCATAAGATTCTGATAACTATGAATGAAAGTATGGATTAACCAGATACTTATATACCACTCTTTACGGTATAAATGAGGAAGAAAACAATACGATAAACTCTCCTTAGGCACTTGATCCAAATTCACTTGGTTAGCCTAACTTGCCTCCTCCCCTCCCTCTCCACCTGTACCACTATTTTCTTATCAAGTTTTCCCTCTCATCGCCACCCATTCCTGTGCACTAGTGCTGAGTAGTTAGTTGCTCCTTTCTCCCTTTTGGTTATGATCAGGTGCATTGCACCTTGGTCACATACACTTTATTAGAAATAACTGGCTTCTTTGGGCCCGTATTGGAATGAATAATGTGTAAATGTGTAATGCTATGTCATGAATCAACTATCCAAAAAACTTAGTTATTAAGTGAAGATACATGTATAGATTTTTAAACTTGCCCAATCATCATAACTAACTGGTGGATCCTTTGCCACATGTCCCATCTTTTCCCCTCCTAGAACGTACTTTTAATAGTCTCATAGTTTACCAGCTGAACTGGTAATATTTCCTTATCCCTGGAATTATTGGACCCAAGGGTCTTGTCAGACATCTTTAACATGACCTACGGGGAAGGAGCCACTGTGACTGAAAAGTAGAAAAACAAACCAAGGGTAACCTAACCTTTAGATAATACTGCAATATACACTGCGGTATAACCTAGGTGAGGTTGGAGGGGACAATTCAGTGATGACACTGAGCACTATTGTTTATCATGGTGATATAGGGAGCTAGAAAGCGTATCAGGAAGGGATAGGAGCCAAACTATGGGGAGGAGATAATAACCATCAATTTAGTTGGGTACAACTCTGCTGTTGATGTGGTGAAGATGATGATTTCCCTCCCTTGAATGAAGAATGGCTGGATGTACTAACCATGTTTGGTCTTCTCTAATGGTGTGCTCACTACAATGATTCATGACCCAGTGTTGTGGCATATCTTTGGTGCTGGTCTCACATGCGTTGGTGATTCATTACTTATAATAGCTTGAGAGGAACTCCAAGGAGAAGTAGCTTGTGGATTCAAATAGAAGGGCTCTTGTTTCTGTTCTCAAAACCACAGCTGTTATGGATGACATCTCTTATTTGTGGACTAGGTGGTTGACATAGTGATTACACTTGTAGAGATTAGACACGTTGGAACATGTCGATGCATCAGGTTGTAAGCATATTGTTCTGCCCATAGCTGATGCCTCTAATGCAAAGGAACAATACAGCTTTGTAGATTTTGAAACAGTTCTTATTTGTAGAATTTGTAATGAATGACAATGGAATGGGACCTTGTGCTACATCATTTGTAATTGATTGGAAAATGGAAATCTATTATAACAGTGGAATTGCAAGAATTTTTCTTTGCTCATGGAAAAGGACAAGCATTTCCATTAACCTAATTAAACAAGTTTGTTTTGACTTGTTTCTGATAGTTTTTTGAAAAGTGATGAAGCAGTTGAAACTTGAAAGCCTTTGTTGGGTGATGTAGGTCATGATAAAACTTGGTTTTTACCATGTTTGCCTGTGATAGCTTTACATTTGGTGTCAATCTATGGTTGCACATGCTGGTTCATATTTCGAATGTAGCGTTTTATAGATACATATCCAGTGAGTTGTTGGACAAGCTAGTTTGTTGAAATTCGTTGTAGGATTGGAGTTCCTTCTCTTATCATTTGGAGTCGCTGCGTTCGAGTTTGTTAGTGCAGGTGTTAATTTTAAAAATTGAGCTGTGTTTGACAATATCTGCCGAACTTTTTTTGAAATTTTTTTTCTGTTAATGCATAATGTATCTCATTCTTGCCTTGTTAGATGGTTATTACTGTAGTTTATTCTAGTAACTTTTCAGTTTCACTTGACAGAAGGATACTATTATTGACATTTTCTATGAGAAACATCTGGGTCAACTTATTGAAGTGATAACTTCATCATGTCCTTCAGAAAATGTTGCAAATGTGAGCAGCAAAACAATAGACTGTGGCCAAGTAGTCAAGTATCAGAGTGGTGCAAAGCCAGAGATACTATCAAACATATCTGAATTGCTATGCTTTTGTGTCCTACACCACCCATACAGGATAAAGTATTTTCTGCTTGCTAGGCAGTAATTAGAATGACTTTATGTTGCTGATCATTAAATGTGATAGTGAACATGTGTCTCTCTTTACTCTTTGCAGGTGCAGCTTTCTTCTCAATAAAGTGATTGATAAAATTTTGTTACTTACACAGAGAAGAGAAAAATACGTAGTTGTTGGTGCTGTTCGGTTTGTTCGTACCATTCTCTCACGTCATGTATGTTTAAACATTTGTGCAGATACTGTCTGTTTGTATTTGGCAACTGCCATAGTGAAGACCTGCCCCTGTTCCCCAACTCTCTTATGTATCAACCCAATCTTAACATATTCACCCATGTGCTTGCAATTTTAGGGCACTTGTGGGTCTTACACCCTTATACAACCTTGGTCCTGAGTATATATATTTAAAGAGGTGTCTTTACTGATTTGTTTCTTTTTTAGGGTAAGGCATTATTGACTGGTTTTGCTAGTGATTTAAGCTTGAAGATGGTCCGAAGTTAATAAATATAAAGTTTATTTTATTTTTTCATTTCATCACCTTATGAATGGAATATTGGCAATGTTTCGTGTATGAAACCTGTAACTCATTTTATTATGTCTGTTATTTCCTTCTGCCAACGACTATATGAACCACATTTTTGTTTTAAGTTCTCTGGTCTGCTGCAATTTCTTTCTTGCAAAATCCTATTATAACTTAGTAAGATGTACATTTTGCCATTTTGGATCTCAATGCACTAAATTTTATTGAGAAGGTAACTAACTAGGTATGAGGACCTTTTAGTATGAATCTCGTCAGTTATGGAGCACCTTTCCTGATATCTATTAAAAGATGGCTGTAATTTTTTCTTTTTAGTAAAGTTCTTCTCTGACCTTTCATTTTTAAGAGGGATGGATGAAGGTATTAGTTAGCCAGAATGTAACTTTTGGGCAACTTAGATCACTTTGTTATTACAGTTTTGAGTTGTTTATGTTGGTAGTGTTTAATGTAGTCTGTTGTCTCTATATTCTTTTGTAAACTCGAAACCTATTACATGGTCGTTGAGTCTTTTTCTGTGTAACTAATTATTGTTTTAAGCTATAACTGTTTGATTCTATTATTTTTAATCTCTTTATATCACGTTCCCTGTGAATATATGAGGAATTGTGTCTCATGCAGTACATGTAACAGTCTGGAGTGTTGCCCTGCAGGATGAGCATCTGATAAATCATTTTGTTAGAAGTAACCTTCTCAAACCAATTGTAGATGCCTTTGTTGCTGATGGCAATCGCTACAATCTGCTCAATTCTGCTGTTCTTGAACTTTTTGATTATATTTGCAAGCTATCGTGCTTATATGTATGCCGTTGAAACGTCATTTTGCCTTAATCTACCAACAGTTGATGCAATGTGAGCATGAATGCTTCACTACCTACGTGAGCATTTTAATTGCCTCCATGTTGGTGGCATTTCTTAATTTCAACTCGCATTAAATTATTGATTGTAGCAAATAAATTTACGATTTTCATTTAATTTCTCTAATGAAGAATTATTGTGATTTATCTTACTAATAAACAATTCTGTTAATTAGTATTTTTTTTTATTGGAGTATAATGATATGACATAGAAAATTCACTTAAAAATAAGTAAAGATTTTTAAATAAGTAATATTACATAATCATCCATCATTGTTATATATTTCTTATGAGTATGTTATTTTTTGTTTTTAATATTTAATTTTTTATATGCATTAAATTATTGTGTAAATTTTATATATTAAAATATTAATTATTATGTTTAATTGAATTAATATTTAATTATAACAATTACATTAATTTTTTAAGTTGTAAATGTAATAATAAATTTATCTAAAATAAAATAAAAATCTTAATAAATTATTTATAACAACCATATGATGTAAAAATTTAATTCAATATGAATTTACTACCACTTTGGAATTCTTGGTCGTAAACTTAGAAGGTTAGCCCCCTTAAGCGCTGAACTTGCCCCCAACAATAGTTACGTATACGTCTGAAACATAATCAAATATTGCATGCAATCTTGTCCGTTTTAGATCAATTTGAGCTTAAGATTATAATATTTACTATGTTATTGAGTATTTTTAAAATACTTTATGAATTTGTAAAGGATCCTAAATTACGCCCATTCGAACATGATCTTTGTATCTAGCTTAGACTCTGAATTTGGTGCATGCATGTGCTTGTCAAGAATCCAATATATGGAAAAATTAAACATTGGAGATGAAGTCACAGAATTAAACCTTAGGTATAGTAGAATGAATTTAGGGAGTTGATTTGGTAATTAAAATCCTTAGACGAGGACTGGGTCGAAGGGTTAAACCCCTGATTAGTAGGCAGAATGAGTGAAGAGTGAAATTTGTTATTGTTGCAAATGGGTTGCCACGAACGTCGCATTGTGGTTGTTCCAAAAGCCACGTGTGGCTGTCCCTTACACGTGTTCTCTAATCCATCCTCTTTGCTTTCTTATATCTCTTCCTACTCTCTCACCTCTCCAGTTGCTATTATCATCTTATTCCTCAAGTGAATAATCAGAATCAGTGGTATCAACTAAGATGAACCTTAACACCAGCAGTAACTTGGAGACTCGCTCTCTTCTTGATGAGCTTTGTAACTTCGACAAGAAGGGACTCTTCGACCTTGGACACCCTCTTCTCAACCGCGTCGTTGAGAGTTTTGTCAAAGCTGCTGGGGTATCTCACACTACCTTAATTTTTCTCCTTTGCATGCTGCATGCTGCATGCTGCATGCGCATCTGGAACCTTTCATTTCTATTTTTTATTTTATTTTATTTTAATTCTCTCTCTGTGTTATGGCTTGTTGGATCGTGTCTTTCCATCACTATTCATCTCTTCCAGATAGGAGCGG